TTTCACTCATTGATTGCTTTCTTTTACCTCATTTTGTTTTTCTTTGTTTCTTTCAATGCCCTGAGAGCTTTGAAATGATTGTTATGTTCACATATAGTTTGTACTGTGGCCCTGAAGGCTCAAAATCAAACAAAAATAAATACAAAACACGTGGGTTTGCGGTCCTGGCTCCAAGATGGTGGAATGAGCTCCCCATTGACATCAGGACAGCAGATAGCTTACACACCTTCCGGCGCAAACTGAAAACTCATCTCTTTCGACTCCACTTCGAGCGATAGAACTATTAACAAAGCACTTATATACTAATAAAGGACTGGCTTATCTAAAGCCAGTTGAGTAGCACTTGAAATGTTTGGCTCTATGAAACCTGATGTACTTATATGATTCTGTTTTCTTCAAGGTTGTGTCTTCCTGGTCGAATGCACTTATTGTAAGTCGCTTTGGATAAAAGCGTCAGCTAAATGTAATGTAATGTAATGTACAAACATTTCAAGCTAAAAACATAAGATTTGACAAGACTTTATCAGAATTGAAAAGAAAACGGTGCAGGACACTTGCTACATGGAAACCGTTTCCAGGTGAATACACAAAGTGACAAAAGGCCACAGGTTAACAGCAGATATCTTCAAAAACATTTGATTTCTTGATAGTTTGGTCTATAAAATATAATAAATAGTTAAATGTCCATCCCAGCTCCTCAAAGTCCACCCGTACGAACAAATGCCAAACTTCATTGCATCTCATCAAAAGGTGTTAGTCTGTGCAATAACTGTAACGATGCACTGAAATGTTGTGCCAATCTAAACTGAAAGTATTGTTTAGGAGCCAAATCATGAATGGTTATGAACAGGACCTGTAAAATCCCATGTGTTGTTATTTCTTGTAATTGTAAAAGTAATTTATTTCTGATTATTTTGTAAAAAAAGAAAAAGCAAACAAATTAACAAGACAAACACGTCGCTGTTGACGATGACCTAATGTTTTATTTATAAGAACAATGTATGCTAGAGGGGGGAGGACCAGAACAGTTTTTTTAAGCTTCCTCTTGCCCCTGTTGAACATGACACAGACTATCTGAGAATTTTTTTTTTTTTTTTTTTTTGTACTTTGTTATAATTATTATTTTGAGTGAGAAAAAAAATATATATACAGTATATATATATATCATTATTATTGTTGTATGTTTTGTTTCTGACATGTTCAATAAATTGACAAAAAAAAAAGAATCTCTTGTGTGAAGCAAGTCTCCAGTGGAGAGGATAAAAACACGGTCTTTACCACAAATACGTGTTTACTTCTTTTGGTGTATCGGAACGAAGTAGCCCTACAATTTCTATATCTGAGTACTTCTGACTACCTTGTTAATTCAACATGTATATTTGCTACTTTCTTGTTTATGTCTTTTAATTTACTGTTCAATGCCATGTCTTTTTTTATGCTGCTACAACGCAAACATTTCCCAAATTGGGATCAATAAAATACTATCTTATCTTATCTCCCGCTGGATTGAGGAACATTCATTTCTCGTCAAAGAGTCCCTCTATAACAAAACCACGAGGCACATGTTTGATATTTAAAAAAACAGTCTTCAACTCAACATTGTATAAGGATTTAATAGCAGTAGAAGTCCACAGCTCCCTGATGCAGTTTGACCAGTGTTTGACCCGTTCCACGTCAAGTGTCCCATCGATGAGCAGCTCTGTAATGCGTGACCTGCTCCCATCCCTCTGCTGTACGTCCGTGTATCCGACAAATCATCGCCGTTATCTGAGACGACCTAATTTGTCACATCACATAGACGCTGCGCTGAGACTAATTCCCTTCCCTCATTTATTTGTGCTATTATTAATATTGCAGACGGTGCACTTTGCGCGACAGCACAGAGACGTAACTCTCTCCTCGACGGAAACAGAAATGACAGCAGACAAGACACGTGTGAGTGGATCTGTCACTGTGACCCATTTATACACTTAAACTTTACATGGGTGTTATTACTCAAACACACACATACTCATAATGCGTCTGTCCATCTCTCTCTGTCTTTTTATTGCAAACATATTCACTTTTTTAAACGCAATTGTAGGCGTAGAAAAGCGTTCTTTTAACTTCCTAGCGAACAGGCACATATGCACGATGTCGGCATGCAGCAGCACACAACGCACTACTTCATAGAATAAACCAATCATGAACCGCATGACCTTCCCCCTTGTGGCATAAACATGCATGTGCAGGTCAACAATTAATCTTATGGGTGCTAGACAATCATATTAGCCCTCTTTCTTTTTCATTTGATCCATGTTTTACCTTTACCTAATACACCTGGGATACCAAACTGTATGAAGAGGAAAATAGCAGTAAATAAATAATACAAAATAAACAAGGTACAACAATTGCATTTGCGTTGCAAGTAAGAAATATCATTTGGGGTTTCTATTCATGCTTCAAGGTTAAACAAACACATTCTTTCTCATAGAGTGGCTGAATATATATGTATCCACCTTTTATCTGAAGATTTGTGTGCAAGTGAGTTATTTCCTGGTATGTCTCTTTTAAAATGCTTACAGCAGCAGGTAAATGCAACAACAAGGAAATAAAACATCCATACTGTAAAAATAAGCACAACCCTTGCATCTACCCCACACACACCAACAAACACACACTGTAACAACACACACCTGTTGACACTGCCATAACAGATCTCAGGTCAGTTAGCTCTTCAGTAAAAAAGGAACCATTTCAGAATAAGGTTCCTTAAACACGTCAACATTCAGATGAAATGTGTTTCAAAGGACCGGCGGCAACAATTAATATAATCCTATTTGTCACAGACACACGCTTGCAGCCACATTGACTGCCCCCCCCCCCCAAACCCCTCCTCAGTGATATTAGTATTCATGGGTCTGCATGTACCTCACAGCCTTTTAGAAATGGCTCGCTTACCCGCTTTGAGAGTCATTGAAAAAGCACTATAATAAATACAAGGATTATTAGGGTCTGAGACCTGAGGTCGGCGAAGACCCTATTGCAATGACTTCAGATGATGGCTACTAGTCCGGCCCTCAACAGCTCTAAGTCAATTATGCCATTTCCATGGCAACTCATCCCTCGCCATAAAACACGATGTTGCCGTTACTCCTGTGAAAATGGCCCAAACGGCACCAGCCTTCAGTTGACAGTTAATGGTCCGGCCCTCAACAGCTCTACGCCAATTATGGGATGTCATCATATGCCGTTTCCATGGCAACCCATCCCTCGCCATAAAACACGATGTTGTTGTATAATTCAATGGAAAATCGTCCAAACGGCACCAGACTATCATTAATGGTCAGGCCCTCAACAGCTCTGTCAATTAGGGGATGTCATCATATGCCGTTGCCATGGTGACAGATCCCTCGCCATAAAACACAATGTTGTCTTAACTCAATGGAAAAATGTCCAAACGTCAAGGGCCGCCCCTCCCTACAGGCCAATGACGCAGGCTGCATGGGGCCCCGCCTTGCGCAGGGGGCCCCGCCCAGAGGGCCTCAGCTGCTGTGCGCAGTTCTCCGCGCACCTCCGGCTGACACGCGAGAGTGAGAGGTGACAAGGGGAGCACGTCTGTAACCCGACACCGTTGCAATGAATCGACATCTGACCAATCACGGCTTTGATACGGCCACTAGTGCAGGTGAAGAGATGTCGGTGAAAAGAGAGTTTCAGTCCGGAGCAAGCAAGAGGGGAAAAAAACAAAACATGAAGAAACTAGAGCATCACTCGAAGGTGGGTTATTGTATGAGTCAAATGTACAACTTGCGAATGTTGTATAAGTCAAATGGCCAATTGCCATATTAAAACATCAGCTGCAATTCACGACATGAAGAAGGCAGTCTCTGCAGCATATAGGCTAATGGAGATGCAGTTATTTCCAGCATTCTTTATTTATCATTCATTCAAGTATGTGATGCCTTTTATCTGCTAATATACAGGAGGAAGAGTGATACACTGTCTGTCTTGTTGGCTTACATAACAGTTAAAGTTTACAGCCTAAAAAACATGGAGCATTTTTCCCCTTATATTCATTTTTATGTCAATTTGCACATTTCATGGTGACGCTCAGCCTCTCCCCTTAACTCCTAACAGTCATCATCATGTCAACCACAACACAGAGAAATACTGATAGGAATGTGTGTGTAGTTGTTGATACATTGCTGACAGAGGGAACTACATTTAAATACAGATTTAAGAAATATCAGTTCTTGAGCATGTCATAAGCATGTTTTGTCTTGACTATACAACTATATTATAATACAATAATATAGTATTTATATTATTCAATTGATTATGATTATTATTAGTAGAAGTTGTTTATTTGCATTAATTATATTTTAATCTTTTTGAGGCTAGTATTTGACAGGAAATCAATCAATCAATGTTTATTTATATAGCCCAATATCACAAATGTTACATTTGTCTCAGTGGACTTTACAGTTTGTACACAATATCAGTATGACAATACGACACGCTCTGTCCTTAGACCCTCACATCGGAAATGCAGACGTATTCACCTGTAAACGCATACTGAACGACATACCATTTACCTCACTGCCTAAAAAAGTGTTGATAATAATAATAAACAGGAATTATATTTGCAAAGTAGCCTACTTTGTTTCCAAAAAAAAAATGTTTTCACTCCTGTCGGTTGAGGGGGGGGGTGGGCCTCATCTCACAATGTCGCTTGGGGCCCCAAGTTGTCCAGGGCCGGCCCTGCGTCAACAGACATCCTTAATTTTGTATGTTTTTAAATGGCATCATTGAAGTTGCACCGACAGAGGTCCGCCGTTTCCCCACAGCGACAGTTCGCTAGCACACACACCCCCCGGCCCATTGACAAGTCACTAGCACAACAAAAAGGTTGGGCACCCTTGAACTAGACCGTCTGATAGATCTGACAATGATTGGACGTTCAAACATGAAGTTGTCTTTTAAAATCCTTTTTATTTAAAATCTCTCTTTTCAAACGATTCAAAACAAAGGATAAAACACATTTTTTTTAAATGACACTGAATTCATTAAATAAAAAAGTAGAACCAAACATAAAGATCAGAAATCATTTGACAGATGTAAAGCTCGACAATAGAAAAATGAACTAAATTACATTACATTTCATTTAGCTGACGCTTTTCCCCAAAGCGACTTACAATAAGTGCAATAAAAAACCATGAAGATATAAAGCCAGAAAAACAAGAATCATGCAGGTATGTTAGCTAAGTGCTACACACAAAAGGGCCGATTGTAGTGTATTTTTGGCCAGAAAACACCTCTAAATCACAACAAAGAGAACATTACATTTTGAATACACAGCAATTCAAAGTGTAACAAAATGAGCCTATCTTTGGTATAATTCTACAGCAGGTTCAAATTAATCAGTTAAATTCAGTGACTGTTCCCTTAAAGGAAATACACAACATAATAAACACAAACAAACTCTTTATTTCTATTTGTTCTGTTCCATTGTCACACGGACGTTCAGTGGTAATATCTTCACTTCCTCCTCAGTGTTAAAGAATGGAAACATCTTCTCAGTGAAAGTGTGTGTGAAGGTGTGTATGTGTGTGTTAGTTTCAAGATCAGAGAACGACAACTCTCCTCTATTCCAGTCCAGATTCACTCTGACCCTCTGGAGCTTCTTCTTCAGGCGGAGAGGAGTGTGAAGATCTGGTGACATTGCTGCATATTTACCTCCTTCGAAATGTATCATCCATCCAGACAGATTGTCTCCCTTCCTCCGGAGAGGCTCTGCACCCAGAAACCAGACTGTACCGTCTCCAACCTGGACATCCCAGCTGTGAGTCCCGGAGATAAAGCCCTCAGAGCCCCGGACAGAGGCGTAATCACCGAACCTCTCTGGATTATCAGGAAGTTTCTGTCTCTCTGCTCCTAGTCTCACGCTGGTCAGATCTTCAGACAGGATGAGGTTTGGACTAGCAGTGTTTGGGTCCAGGATGAGAGGAGAGTAAGACACCATCTTCTTCATCTTGCTCCAGATGTTGAAGCTGAGGTTGCCCAGGTGTTTGGCCTGGTCTATCAGAGCTCCTGAGGGCAGCTGTAGATCCTCCAGCAGGGGGCGCTGCAGCTCCTCCTCTGTGGCTTTGACTGTGGGTGAACGAGCTGCTATCTCTCTGCTCATAGCCTCCATCATCCTCCTCTTCTGCTCCTCTTCCTCCCTCAGTGCAGCCATCCTGGCCTCCTCTTCCTCTTCTAGAAACTGGTGAAGCTTCTTAAACTGCTCCTTAATCTGCGTCTCTGTGTGTTGAGCCTGGACCTTCAGGTGTCCTGCTGCTTGATCAAACTTCACTTTAACTTCTTCAGATAGCTTCAGTTTCTTCTTTAAGGGCTGCAGAGCTTCCTGGGGCTCCTCTCTGAGATCCTGAGCAGCTTCATCCATGATTCTGAATCTGTGGTTGGTGTGTGTTCTTGAATCTCTGCAGACGACACACACTGGCTGCTGATGGTCCAGACAGAAGAGTCTGAGTTTCTCAGAGTGCAGACTGCAGAGAGCCTCTGGAGATCTCTGATCTCTCTCCTGTAAGAAGGTCTCACACAGGTTCTTCAACAACAGGTTACAGGGAGGTTCTCCTCTTGAAGATCTTCTCTTACAGACTGGACACTCTCGTGTTGGTTTCTCTCTCCACCAGGTCTGCAGACAGGCTTTACAGAAGCTGTGGCTACAGGACAGAACAGGATCTCTAAAGACTTCCTGAAAGACCGGACAGCAGAGATCTTCCTATGACCTGGAAGCCGTGTTGTCTCTGAGTGAAGCTGAAACACAGCAGACAGGAAGTGCAGTCAGTCATGGCTCCCCTCCCCCTCCTCTACTGACTTCAGTGAAATTCACTTTGAGTGATGTTTGGAGACTCACCTTCAGTGTGTCGGTCCGCAGGTTGAAGCAGCAGTGTTGTAGTTTCCACTTTTCTCTCCTGTAGCTGAACTCAGAGGAAGTTGTTAGTTTGGTCTGAAGGTGAATCTGATCGTCTGTTTTTCAGTCCGTCTGTCTCTGCAGTGAGGAAGAAGAACAAACTGTTTCCTGGTTTGTCCTCTGCTAAACGTTGCTGCTCCACCTGTAAAGAAGGGTGTGTTACAGATTTAAATTGGAGGTTATTTAAAGTAGGGACAAAAACAAACTTTTTGTTGTTTTACTTCAATGAGCCTGTAGCAATACTGTCAGCTGCATATATAAAGGTACGGACACACCAACCCGATTATCGGCGTTGGTGGGCGTCAGGCCGACGATGAGCGTCGACACGCCCTACTCGGATTGGTGTGTCCCGCACCGTTGGGTCTTTTTAGCCGACCCGACGCCTTTTTGGCCGAAAACCAAAAGGCACTCTGATTGGTGTTCAGCTAGCGAATCAGTGCATGAGAAGCGAAACGGAAGTGAGGGACCCAAACAAACTATTAAGAAGGCAAATCTGAGATTTCATTTAACTCCAGCTCTCGACACAGGTTCGGGAGCTTCTCGCTGTAGAGTGAAAATGGAACGCACACGCAGTCTGTCTTCCGGTTGTTGCCTCTTTTGAATGACGAATACACACTACCCGAATCCGAATGCACTTTCACTATCAGACGTGTTTATGATGCGCCAGCGGACGTCATTTTGTGCGTCTGCTGCTGTGGGGTAACCATGGAAACTACAGTTTTCTATACAGCGGACTACAACATGGATGTTTATTAAGAACGAGGGACTCATCTAGAGACTCTGCACCGTGCTCTGATGCTGTTGCTTTATGCTTTATGAACAGAGAAACATATTCTTCAGGACCAAAGTTGGAATTGAAATAAAAAAGGAAAGTGAAACTTATGCTCGTCACCCTCTCCCTCCGGTCCACTTTAATACAAATGATCCCAATACGTATGATTGATGAAAAGATCTTAAATAAATACAAATGTATTTATTATAAACGTTAGTCCTTAACATCTATCACTGTGTATATCACCATTCAAACATCTTTTAAAAGTTGAACAAACTCCACACAGCTCAGTAAAGACTGTGAAATGTTGACTTTATTTGATCATTTCCGTAAAAACTAACGTTCATATTTCTCTTTTTGATTATAATACTGATGAACGTTCAGAACAAAGCACTTTGGCAACTTACCACATACGTTTTTAAATGCTTAATAAGCACCGTAACTTTCATGATATAATTTCTCCGTCATAATCGGTTGTTTCCGTGAACGGCCGACTGTTGAGTGACGGCAAATGCTGCGGCTGCAATGCATTGTGGGGCAGCATTTTCTCCTCTCCTTTCGGTGAGGGAGGTCCAGTGGTTCCTAAGCTAAAGGAGGTTATAAAGGAAGTTTGAAACCTCCTTTCCTTTCATTTGGAGAATTGGAACGGCACTTATCATGGCTGCCAGTGAGGGACTTCCGGGTCATTTCACTCCGTTAGGAAGGTTCCTAAGCTAAATGGACTATTGTTCCTAAGGGTGCATTAACTAATAGTCGCTTCTCTGGTGTGCACCAGACGACAGTTTGTTACATTGTTTCATTTTTCAGAAAGTTCGGTTTGCGTTCACACGGGCAAAACTCAAACGGACTATACACTTTAAACATAAATCATGTGCTCGGAAATGCTGTTCAACAATTGGTCAGACATTAAGGGGGTAAAAACGCAAATCCCGGCAATTTCTACGGGAGCCTCCGCCATGGAGCATCGGCACTTTCGGCAGGTTATTCTCATGCTGTTGTTCATCTGGAGATCATATCAACAGCAACGGCGCATATGATTATATACAGGGGTGCACATAACTTTTTGAGTGAGTTACTCAGATGAGTACCAGGAGACAGCGTTTGGTACTCACCCCACACGAAGCGTGGTCCTCCTCTGTGTCTCCTTCACTGTCATCTATTTACACTTCTTGCATGATAGATGAGGAAGATGATGAAGATGCACCTCCCTGTCTCTTTTTAAGCCTCCGATTTGCTTTCTCCAAGTCCTTGCATTTCCTGAGGCCAAGTTGGAGGATCAAATACTAAGAAATGATCACATGACTTGAAGTCATATCTGATTTCAGATGTGGGAAGTTACCAAGTACACTTATTCAAGTACTCTACTTATATGATATTTGTACTTGACTTTGATCTAATTTGTCAAATTAGCTGCACCTTTACCAGCTTTGAGAACACTTTCATGATCAATCATTACAACACATATCATATATATTATTCTGAAATGGACCAATCAAACAATGACTACTTTTACTGTTGGTACTTTAACTATATTTTGATGATAATACTTTTCTAAATTTTAATTGAGTAACATTTTGAATGCTGGACTTTTACTGTAACAGAGTAACACTCTGTACTTCTACTTGTACTCAAGTACAATATCTGAGTACTTCTTCCACCTCTCTGTCTGATTTCAAACTCTTCCATTAACACCCTGAGGAAGTTTGCAACTGTGTGTTTCACTCCACTTTGTTGTAAATCAAACTGCAGCAGCTTGACCACAGAGCGTGGACGTTGTGATCAGCTGATTTTGCGCAGTTCTCCAGTGTGTGGCGGGGCACAGAATGTACACGGGGGAGTCTCCCACTGCAGCCAGTTGGCGGAGTTTTGACACAATTCTGTTGTTCATACCGACGTTAACCCTGTCTGTGCACACGGCGACCAACTCTGTTGTCCGGTGATCTAAGCCTCTGCCTCCTGTAAAGCTTCACAGGTCCGTCGGTTATGTCCTGCGCGGCTCGGTCAGCACCCAGTTCAGTCAGTCATAGAAATACCGAAGAGTTTTTGCAGGGAGCGAAACGGCAACGTAGCTGCTTAATGTCTTTGGGTTTTTTGACATGTCTCGTAGTTTACTCCATTGAGTGTTGACAAGGAACACGTGTAGACGAAATAAGTGTTTTGTTTTGATGTTTTGAGGTACGCAAAGGCGCGTAGTGACACAAGTGACGTTACGCAATTCAGATTTGTGCCGCGCATGCGTACCTGCTATGTGCAACCCTGATTATATAATCAGACAACGTGTGTGATACAAAACATTATAACATATAATGAGAGACGTTCTGCAGTAAGGAGGGGGTTTCACCGACGGCAGGTGGCTCTGACTTTTATGTATAGTTTTTAGTTTGATAGGCCTAGTTGTTTTTACTTTCCACGACACTGTTCAACACTTCATTCTGCTTCACTCTTTCACTAAAGAAATGAAGACACCCGCGTTCTTGTGACACGTAAATACTACGCTTCCTATGTTTTGGTGCGGACTGCGCTCACACCATAGACGATGAACCGCTCCAGAGTTCACTAGCAAGCGGTCCGAGACCACCTATTTTAGCGGACCAGAGTCCGGTTGTTTAATTCACTTCAGAGGTCTCGGGCTGTGTTCACACCGACCCAAATGAACCGCACCAAGCGGCTGAACGCACCAGGGTTCGATTCAACCTGACTATAAACGGCTGGTGTGAACGCACCCTAAGCTAAATTGACTATTCGACTTCAGCCTAACTCTCAAGATGACAACGCACTTTTTTACGCAGCCAATCAGGTTACCAGCAATGCTAAAGGAGTATATCCCCTAAAACCTTTAAAGCAGGGAGTTAGACTCTCCTTCAGTGTGTCGGTCCGCAGGTTGAAGCAGCAGTGTTGTAGTTTCCACTTTTCTCTCCTGTAGCTGAACTCAGAGGAAGTTGTTAGTTTGGTCTGAAGGTGAATCTGATCGTCTGTTTTTCAGTCCGTCTGTCTCTGCAGTGAGGAAGAACAAACTGTTTCCTGGTTAGAGTCAGGTGAGCTTTGTCATGCCTCCTCTGCTGCACAAAGGGGTGTGTTACAGATTTAAATAGGAGGTTGTTTAAAGTAGGGACAACACAAAAAGCTCCTTTTGTTGTTTTGCTTCAATGAGCTTGTAGTAATCCTGTCTTCTGCATATATAGGAAACACATTGTTAATCTTGTTTTACATTGTAAGCAGTGTAACTGAATACTTGTTAAGGTTCCCAACATCACCCAAATCAGTGGGTTGATTACAGAACCCTACAAGAGGGTACATTTAGCGTGATCAGAGTTGGGTGTAACGCATTACAGTAACGCTTACATACTATTATGTTTTGGGTAACGGAGTTGTGTAAAGCGTTACTTTTATAATTTAGTAATCGCACTACGGTTACTAACATTGCCCCGACACGCGTTACTTCGTTACTTTTATAAAATAATCACACTCACTGACAGACTAGAGGGGTTTCCGCCGCAGGTTTATATACATGTAGGCCTATGTAATCTGCGCGATTTGCGAGACCACATCTCCACGTGCAGTGCTGCATAAACATGGCTGAGTCTTTTCATCTGTAAACTCCCTCAACGGGGCCGCTCGCTCTCTTTTGTTGATCACCCTCTCACGGGTGAACAGTTCAATGCCCCGCTTCATTGTAGGAATTCTGCCATGTCTCTACCACTTCAGTTTGACCATCTCTGTTACTAAGTTATGGAATACTAAATAAATCAGTAATTAGATACCTTACCGTTACTGCGCTCATAAAGAATGATAAGAATAATGCGTCTTGAACTGGTTTCATTAATTAGTGTCTTGACGTTTCACAGACTGTTAGCTTGTTGTGTGGCTGGTAGCCTATTTTAGAGCATATAAAAAGAAAGACTTGTGTTATGTCTTCCTTAATGCAATAGTAATTGGGGGGCAAGTGGAGTCTCGCAGAGGCAAAACTGTGGCGCGCACACTGTAGGTGCGCCGCAGTCTGCGTGATCTGCCTGTAGGGAGGGGCGGGCCGGCCCTGCGAGTAAAGTAACGAGTAAAGTAACGAGTTACTTTATCTAGAGAGTAACGAAGTAGTGTAATATATTACTTTTTTTTAGTAACGACCACATCTCTGATTGTGATCATTGCAACGGTGAAAACTCATAATAAAGAGTAATAAGTCAGATATACACAGGCACAGGTTTCAGGTTACAGTATTCAAAGGGTTTATCACTGATCGTGTTACTGTGGCACACCCATGGCAACACGCTACAGCCCAACACTTTCCCATAAAGTGTCAGGGTGAGTGAAGCAGGCAGGACCCAAATGCAGGAACAAATACGAGTTTGAACCGAAAATACCTTTATTTCAAGGCCAACAAACTGACACATACAAAGAAGAACTATCTCCTAGTGAACACATACAACTAAGACATGGGCCCTTTCTCATTTCATCAAATCCTCGACTCCTCGGTCCTCCGGTAGTGACCCGGAAATGAATTTCAGCACGCCATGTTGAAGGACATCTCGGTTGCGGTCGGATAGTTTAAAAATCAGCTCCTAAGTTCTAACCCTATCTCCTATTCCTTGACCTCTGAGTGAAACGTCACGGGGTTAAGGGATAGTGGATAGGAGAATTCAAAAGGACTTAGGAGAAGAGACTGCGGTGCTTTAGAGAATCCGACTGCACTTTCACTATCCGACGTGTTTATGACTATTCGACTTCAGCCATAAAACACAATGTTGTCGTAATTCAATGGAAAATCGTCCAAACGGCACCAGACTTCAGACTATCATTAATGGTCCGGCCCTCAACAGCTCTATGCCAATTATGGGATGTCGTCATATGCTGTTTCCATGGCAACGCATCCCTCGCCATAAAACACAATGTTCTCTTAACTCAATGGAAAATGGTTCAAACTGCACCAGGCTCAATATGACAATAGTGAGTTTTCCTCAAAAGCTGTTGCCATGGCAACACATCCCTCGATGTTGCCGTTACTCCTATGAAAATGGTCCAAACGGCACCAGACTTCAGATGATGGCTAATGGTCCGGCTCTGAACAGCTCTATATCAATTATGGGGTGTCATCAAATTCCGTTGCCATGGCGACAGATCACTCGCCATCAAACATTATGATTATGATACTGCTGTAACTCCTATGTACGTTGTCTGATCGGCCTGAAACTTCCCACGTTTGTCAATGGCCGAGTCCTCGAGACATCTGCCTGACATCGACGTGCGGACAACTGCCTGCGGAGCGTCGAAGACCCGCTCAACGCTGCTTGCAGCTTTAATTATTATTAGGGATGCTCCGATCGCCAATTTCGGGGCCGATCGCCGGAATCAGTATCGGCCGATACCAATCGCCGATCCGATCGAGTGGGCGGGGCCTAAATGGAAGATTTTAAACATCACTTTAAATCTTCCATTTAAAGTGATGTTTAAAACTCAGTTAATGGGGCTCATTCACTGGAGCTTCCACAAACAACAATCAACTTAATTATTACATTCAAATGATGTACATTATTCAAGTTTACATTCACTTTGGAGAATAACACGGGAGAAATTAGCGGAAGCGCTCTCTGTTCCTCTCTCCCTCTCTCTCTCTCTCCTGACAGCCTGTCAGTATCTCATGCAGCTCACTGATCCAGTAATGAGTGACCCGACAGTGAAGAATAAATATATTTATAATAACTAGTTTAGCTTGTTCCAGAGGTAGATAAAATAGCTAAGTGTGTTAGGTCTAACTCTTACGGTACGTCCACACAGCAGCTTTTCAAAAATCTTGAAAATCTTGGAGCTGGGCGTGTCTGAAAGCTTGGGGATTTTTTGCGAGCAACGCGACCAACAACCAATCACATGAATCTCCCGCCCCCGACATACAAAGCAAAAAAACCCGGGGATTTTATGCGAGCAATATATATATATATATATAAACTCCCCAAACAGGCGAAAACCTACCAGTTTCACCCACTGTCTCTGCCACCTCCCTCCATGCCTGGTTCCTCCGGTTTGTATCCCGTTAATAGTTCTGGTCGTAAAGAACCGGGTGATTTGCTACCGTAATTTCTCGTTTGGAATATGAGGAAATGAACTGCGGTCTGGTTCTCCCCGTGTGTGTGTTTCGCTGCGCTTACCTGTCCGGCGGGCGGAGCT